TTTCGACGAGTCCCTGCCCGGTTGCCACATGGTCGACTCGTGCTCCAACATTCAGACTGGAGAACAGTTCGCCAGGTTGCTCAGGCACAATTTCAACAGGCACTTCAACAGCAACAGGGCACCCCTCGGCCTTCACTTCCACGCCTCGTGGCTCAAGAGCAAGAAGGAGTACAGGGAGGAGTTGATCAAGTTCATCGAGGAGATGCTGGCCAGGAGCGACGTGTACTTCGTCACCATGGTCCAGGTGAGCACGTTGCTTGGCTGCACGTTGTTGTTTCGATAATACCTTAAAATTTTTCCCTGTAAAGAAACAACTTTAATTAAAATTATTAATTTAGAAATTAAGTTGTAAATTTCGTACAATTAATTCTTATTTTATTATAGATAGAATCTGATTTACGTCGGAAATCAAATCAAATATAAAAGTTGAACAGACTTTGAAACTTAAACTCCTGCTTTTTTATCTTTATCAATAAGATTTTTCAAAAGATATTATCCTTAAGGTAATTCATTCTCTTATTTATAAATTACAAATCAAAATTTATCTTTATATCTAAATTAAAATTTAAGTAAAGTTTATTTAATTTATTAATTCTTCCAATCAAATTTAATTTATTTATTAATGATCCTTTCAGGAAGGATGGAAGTGATTATTAAAAAAGACAAGAGAATAGGAATATTATTTGCAAGAAAATATTTTCTTAAATCAGTTGGAAAGAGAGAAAGTAAAATTTTTCTTGCTTTTTAAAGATATTGCTTGGATATCATTTAATGCAAGGTGAAATTCGTTGGAAGCTTTATCATGATTCTTCTGATACAGTTCAATTTATCTGACGTTTTCAATCTCACCGCATCATTCGTGATCCATCAAACCTTGCTTCTATTATTTCTCTTTACATCGATTCATTTTCCGCTTTCAATCCAACTCCGCGATACGAACTTTCTTTCTTTCTTTATTTTTCTCTGGATGAATTCACCGTATATATTTCTACGCTTCTACGATTCGTAATTTACAATTACCCGTATGTTGCTTTCATTCCAGAGAAACACGATTTCCGCTTCGATTATTTTGATAACAGAAACGCATAGATTAAATATTGATATATTTGGAAAAATTGAATCAATATCACAACAAATGCACAGGAATCGAACTTTCTAACGAGATTAAATTCCAAAATTTGAACGAAGAGTTGAATTGAAACGTATCGAGAAATACGAAATTCTACAAATTTATTAAGAATTAATAATTTCAAATTTCTCTTAAAAACTCGTCTGATCAATCAAATGGTTACAAACTTAAAAAAAATATACTTAGATCTTCCAAAAATTGTCAAATAATTCATTATAATGAAACTTATATATACAGACTTCCAAAAAATATTCGCAAATCTTGCAAATACCTCCAAATAAATACTCTAAATATAATACACCATCAAATCGAATCACTTTACGAGTGAAAAATTCAGTTAAGGACTCGTCTGACCAAACACGTACTCGTTCCACTTGCAGGTGATCAAATGGATGCAAACACCGACGGAACTCTCGGCGCTCAGAGACTTCCAGGACTGGAAGGAGACCTGCGACGAGAAGGGTCAGCCCTACTGTTCCCTTCCGAACGCCTGCCCCTTGACCACCAGGGAGCTTCCCGGCGAAACCCTTCGTCTGTTCACCTGCATGGAGTGCCCCAACTACTATCCATGGCTGCTCGACCCAACCGGCGACGGTTTCACTGCGAACAAGAAATGAGCAATTGAGAGAAATGATCGGTCGTTCGTGTGGCGCGTGTCCTCGATAAAAATTCGGCAAAGATCGTATCGAGAGAAATTTTCTCGGGGCACACGCGCCTGAACGTGTCGCGCTGAAAACGTGTCGCGAACGGAAAACGAGGAAAAAAATCTCTTGCCATGATTGACTCTTATTTACCACACCAAGATTTCGATTTCGAAAGGAAATTTAAGCGTCGATGCATTTTCTGTTTTTAATTTAATCCGCGAAATTTTGCACGAGTTTTAAACGTCTTGTTTAATTGTGATATTTTTGAATGGAATTTTTATATAACGAGTCGAACGATTTGGTTGATTGAATCATTTTTATTCT